GCACTTACGACCGAATTGAGTCTAGAAGCTAGTATGTCAAATTTGGTGAAGATCGGTTCAGATATAGCTATAGCTCCCTTATATATTATTCATGCGATTTGTTACCCACAGCCGTAATATGCACTCCGTAACAACGACATTCAGGGAAATATATGAAATACAGCTCAGAAATATTTTTGCCAAATTTTATCAAGATCGGTTCCGATTTGGATATAGTTCCCATACATATCAAATGGGCAATACAAGTCCGAATTTAAAAAATACAAATGCTTCGGCACATTTAGTCTTTTGAACTTTAAATTATAATTGTAATCATGGCGTGTATGGTTGAATTCTCCCATAAAAACTTGTGATTGTTATGTGGAGCTCTACTAAATTAGCAAAGTGGTGTAGGGTATCATAAAGTCGGCCCCGCCCGACTTTAAGACTTTTTTTACTGTTTTTTTATTATTTATTTATTCGAATATCACGCCTATATAATTTGTATCGTTTATTATAGTGCTGTAGGGTTTTATACGGTAGGCAGTTCTCGAATGTGGCCTTGTATTTACATGTAATTGATCCCCGCACAGGAAAAATTATAGAAGTATATTATATTGAAATATATAATATATAATTAAGAATATAAGTATAAGTTATAGAATATTCAATATATAAATTTTATCCAAACCAATTTCAAGATCATTTCCAATAATAAACAACTCTTTCAAGGTCAATTTGCCACCTCCCAGAAAAAAAGTTTTCAAATTTACATCGCTAGGCCTGTTTTTGAACCGGTAATCGTTAAGCTGGTTCAATATATTTTATGCATTTGTTGTTATCGCTTTAAACCCTGACCTATGTTTTTATTTTATTTTCATGGTGCGTGTGCCTCACCACGAATGATAATAATACATAATTATTGACCATATATTTATTTAGTTAACGCATTAGTATATGAGAGTGGGATTGTTTGTCGGAATCTACTAAAAATTCAAATGCCAGTGACGTTTTTATTATTTCCATATGACTGGACATGTGGTCAATGTCATATACCTACAAACATACAGATATTGATTTTGTTCCATGCATGATTTAGTTAGTAGCTGGTTGGCTGGTTGTTTAGATAGTCAGCCACCGTGCATGGTGTTTCAATGTTTTTTTTTGGGGGGGAAGATAGTAGTCCGACTACTATTTCTTTTAATCAAATTAAAAGGCGAACGCAAACATACACAGAGACACGTAGAGCTAACCCAATATTCATATAAGTGTATGTGAAGACGCTGCTCTATGCCAGTTTAAGAATTTTCAAAGCCACAATCCGAAAAAACACCACCAACAACAACAAAACAAGCGTAGAAATAAAAAAAATAAATATTGAAAGACGATAAACCCATTGGCTGTATAACATTGGATGGCATTATTGCATTAACATAAAATGCAAAACGTCGGCACGCATGCGCATTAAACGAAACCAAAAACAAAAAAAGACAATAACAACAATAACAACAAACGTACAATCAAATATAGAAACTATGATTCGAACAAACAAATAAACGCCCCGCACACATCGAGCGAACGGAAAACACGCGTCTATTGATCGGCTGGGTGTGCATTGATTTACAATGTCTTATTTGTTTAATTCATATGAGGAACAAAAAAAAAAAAAACAATTAAAGATGACAGCCGGCTATGCGACACCCTATACTATTCTCAGGGTTAAACAGTGGCTTTGTGAATGGAAATTCTTTTTAATTGGATAAAAAAAAATATTGAAAAGTGGGTTAAAAAATATAAGGGGTTTCAATTAACAAAAAAAAAAAAAAAACAGCAAGTAAAGAAAGTCCTAAAGTCGGGCGGGACCGATTTTATGATACCCTACACCACTTTGCTAATTTAGTTGAGCTCCACTTAATAATTAAAAGTTTTTATGGGAGAATTCAATCATACACGCTATGATTATAATTATAATTTAAAATTCAAAGGACTAAATATGCCAAAGCATTTGTATCTTTTAAATTCGGACTTGTATTGCCCATTTGGTGCAAAATTAATTTGAAATCAGATAAAGATATGTATGGGAGCTCTAACCAAATCTGAACCGATCTCGATAAAATTTAGCAAATGTATTTCTGAGCTGTATTTGATATATTTCCCTGAATATCGTTGTTACGGAGTGCATATTACGGCCGTGGGTAACAAATATAACAAATCGGATGAACAGTATATATGGAAGGTATAGCTATATCAGAACCGATCTTCACCAAATTTGGCATACTATCTTCTAGACTCAATTCGGTCGCATGTGCCAAATTTCATCCCATTTGGACAAATATTAGTCGTTTGGTGCACAATAAAAGGTAAATCGGACGAAGTTATGTATGGGAGCTATACCCAAATATGAACCGATCTCGATAAAATAAAAATAAATTTCTGAGCTACATTTGATATATTTCCCCAAATATTGTTGTTATAGAGTGCATATTACGGCTGCGGAGGACAAAAGTAACAAATCGGATGAACAATATATTTGGGAGCTATAGCTATATCTGAACCGATTTCGATCAAATTTGGCATACTTATTTTAAGGCCTGATTTGGTTGTATGTGCAAAATTCCACACTGTTCGGGCTGATATTACACGTATGGTGCACAATAAAAGGCAAATCGGACGAGGGAGCTATATCTAAATTTTTACCGATTATCTCCAATTTTAATAAGGTTCGTCCTTGGGCCAAACAAATGATTTGTGCAAAATTTGATCTCAATCGGATAATAAATGCGACCTGCGTTTTGTTCACAAGAATACATGGACAGACGGACGGACGGAAAATAGGCTGAAAAGAGCTAAAGAGTTGCTTCGCATGGCCGAAAGTGGTGAACTGCCGAATTTGGTTTTTTCGATGAGAAAACATTCGTTGTCCAACAGTTTGTAAACAAACAAAAAGATCGCGTTTACTTGCCAAAGAGGTCAGCTGAAAATGTGCACCTTCGGTTGGCCACCAGAACTCAAGCGCCGGCCATGGTGATGGTGTGGGCCGTGGGCCGCCATAACAGCCGATGGTTGCTCTCCGCTCGTATTAATCGACCGTGGCATCAGAATAAATACCGAATATTATCGCGAAAATATTCTGGAGAGTGTACTAAAGCCTTGGGCATGCAAACATTTTGGCCGCAGACCTGGAACATTCCAATAGGACGCTCCACCCAAGAAGGGTTACAAAACAAGGTGCCTCGCTTCAATTCCAACACACAATAACCAGCCGAAATCTCCGGATACCAAACCGTTGGACTATTGTGACTGAAGTATTTTGGAAAGCAAGGTTGGCACTAAAAAATACCAAAGTGTCGATCACCGGGAATGGGCCAAAATACCGAACATTCGACAGCGTATGACGGTTTCATTGGCCGTTTAAAGGCCATAATTCCTACCAAAGGTTACCAATTCGAACAAATCTAAACTTATTCGGAATTTTGATGCTGTATCCGATATTTTTTTCTTTCATTCGATAAAATTAAAAAAAAAATAATGTACAATTTATGGCGTTTGACTTTGTTGCAGTTTTTTATCTCACCCTGTAGTATCAACCCATTTTTTACCTGTATAAGCCCTTAAATTATGCTAGATTTTGAATGTTAATACCCTTTAAATATCTGTGAAGATGTAAGCCCAGTAGATAAAATAGTTTGCGAGATATTTCCTTTTTAACGCAAAGCAAAATCTACTTTTTTGAGATATGACTCTCTATGAGTAAATTAGCGATATGTTGAATCTCTCTCTCTCTCTCTTTCTCTCTCTTTGCAATATATCAATATTGGTCCACTATCTGGCATTGTGCCAACGGGAGAGTAACTCTACCTCTCTCATAGTGTGTTCTAATTCTTTGGGATATTGAAAATCATGAAATTAAGCGACCGGACCTCCCGGTCGGTTTGCAACACAAATTTGTTGTTGGTAAACAAGCTGGCAGTTCTGGTGGAGTTTACTGATCGATAGTGAGTTTTATACTCAAAGCTATAACTGTGTGTAAGATGTGATGAATTCCCCCATGGGCGGTGTGTTGGCGAGCACTGTTTTGGACATATTTTCCAACATAACTGGTTGTATATGTTGTGATTCAGGTTCTAAGAAGGTATAATCCCTTTCTACAGTGTACATCGTGATATTCGTAATTTCAAGGATATATTCAAAGAAGTAACTGAAAGGGAAATTCGACTAGTTCAATATCAGTCTTCTTTTTTACATAACGCCCGTTAACGACCGATTTAAGGTGTTTTTGTTTGTGGTCCTGCAAAAATCTCTCAACCGGAGTGATTGTCATTTGATGTTTTGTAATATCGTATAATCCAAGCTTTTGAATGGCCCCCATTAATGGGATTGTAACCGGTAATAAGGAATTTTAACGGCAAATTTTTCGCCATAAATTAAGTTTTCACATGGTGGGGAGTATAAAAAGTTCGTCACGACCCAACTAAAGACCGGGATTTGCATGTTGCTATCCAAAGAGTAATATTTTGAGAAGAGATTTTCTATGTAATTTTTGTTCAAAACTTGATGGAGAAATCGATTAGGTTAGAATTTTTCTTTGTTGGAGTGGAATGTTCCTGAGATGCCAGAACCTTTTGCTACTGGAGGCCTCTTGAAATCCCCTTTGGTGGCGGAAGTATTTTTTGCTTATTTGGGCCCAGTTGTATATCTACGTCTTATTCAGGCCGGTTTTTCCATTTAAACTTCTTTTTTCTTGATTCTCAGACACTATTGGTTATTTGTCACCTCGCATCGTCGCCTCACATTAGAGACGACCTCCATGATGTCTTTTCGAAAAAATGCCTTTAAACCACAAAAAAAAGTTCCGTATTCCATTTGTCAAGACGTAAATGATCTGATTATTAATGTCACCGTATTTATATAGTTTGTTCTTTTTTTTCTTGAGTTTATCAAAACAGACAACCAAAGTTACCAACTTCCGCATGGTTTGGGCCAAGCCTTATCTCCCTCTCACTTCCTCTCGCATATGGACATTGTCTGGTGATTTATAAATATTCATTCTTTGCGATTTTTGTTTTAAATTTAAATTATTCGGATTGTATTTTATTTTAATTCTTTGTTGTTGTTTGTTTTAATTTTTTTTTTGTTTCTTTTTCTTTTTTTGGGCTCTTAACATAATCAATCTCATTTAGTTTAACTAATTAAAGGTGGGGAAGAGGGGGGTTGCGTACGATAGGCGACAAGAATCTATGCTAAGGGAGAAAAAATTAAGCCTAGTAGTTTTCGGACAGCATTGGACAATTCAACGCCTTCTCCTCTGGGGATATGTGGTGCCATAGGATGTCACGGCATTGGGCAACTTGGCATAGGGGGCACCAGCCTGCAATGGCAGTGGGGCTATGTTCAGGGGGGTGATGTTGAATGGCAGCGGTAGTTTTACATTCAGGGATTTTCCCGATGAGGATGGTGTGGCCTCTAGCAAGGCTGTGCTGCTGCTGCTGCCCAATGCACTGGGGGCCTTTTTGAGGGCAGCGGATGTTGCACCGGTTGTATAGCCTTGACTGGTTAAGGCCATATTGAATGCGGCATTATCTAGGGCAGGTGAGGTAAATTGTTGACTAATAACCGAGCTGGGGAATGCCAATGACTTTGAAGACGACGACGGCGATGATGCTGCTGCTGAGTTAAAATAACTGTAGGCACCCTGTTGTTGCTGCTGTTGTTGGTTGGCTTGCGGGAAAAACAGCGGTTGAACTTGAGATTGTTGGGTTTGATACGATCGCTGGTATTGATTTTGATACGTTTGGGCATATTGCAGGGGCTTGGGTTGGGGTTGTATGAATTGTTGCGTTTTTGGTGGCGCGGGATAATGATAATAGCCCTCCGGATTTGGAGCGTACGAGTGAACACCACAAACCGTTACAACACACACTAACAAACACTAGAAGCAAACAGAAATTGAATTTTATTGATTTTGTAATTTCCTTTTTGGATTTCGGATGTTTTCATTTGAAATTCAAGGCACTCACATATTTCCACATTTTGTATTTCTTTTCTGATTCAGATATTTCAGTTTGCCAAAAAAAAAATTCTTTCTCACTTTTAATAAAATTTTTCGAATTTCAATATTTTCGATAACAATTTGTTTTTTTTTTATATTTTTCAATTTTATTTTATGTTTTATTTTTTTTTTTTTTAATTTTTTTCTGTTCCAAATCACTTTGTTTTTCGATGTTCTTAATTCTTAATTCGAAACTAAAATGTGAGAACAATTTTTTTTTCAGTCATGCAAAACCTTCCGAGCCGTTTCTATTTTTCACGATCTGAATTGTTTTTTTTTTTTTTTTTTTTTTGGTTTCTTAACTTTTTCTAGGTTGTCGTTCGTTTAAGCTTAGTTAACTGATTAAACCGGATTCCCTAACTAAAGATGCTTTTTATAGAAATTGATTGCGTCCATTGACGTTTGGACAGCTAGCCAGCCAGCCAGTCAGCCAGTCAGCCACACACAACAAAAACCAAAAAATCGAAAAAAAAACCACCAACAACACAGACTACACCAACACCTCGGCTGTTAACAACCCAACCAGCAGCAACAACAACAACAAAAAACACACGGCAAACATGGTAATGTTGCTACTTGGCCCGAAGATTATTGGTTTGTTTAAATTGTTGGTGTTAGTTATTGTTGCCTTATGTTGATGTCTGTCCATCTGTTGGTCTGTTTGGCTGTAAGTGTTGAGTGCGTGTGTCAGTGTCCGTATTGTTTTAATTTTGGCTTTTTTTGAGGAATATTTTATTGGCATCACTTCTTGTGATTGTTTGTTGTTGTCAATGGTCAATCAGTTAGCCAAGACAGTGGTTTGAAACATTTTAATTGAAGGTATGGCTTACTAATTGAATTGATTATTGTCGGTGTTTAAGAGAAAAAGTGGGTTATTACCGTTGCACCGAAGGCATATTAATATTGGAATTGTGATACAAAAATTCATAAGGTTTTTATATGTCAATTTCAAAATTCATAAAATTATATCGAAATTTGTTTGTGTTTGAAATATGTAATTTTAAACTATTTTAGAAAATTGGGAAAAAATTATATAAAAACTAGTAAGTAAAGGCTATAGTCGTACGGGGCCGACCATGTGATGCCCTAAATACTAAAATATGGTAGAAGCCTCCTTATATCCAAATCCATTTTGGAAGATTTCGTTTTTGAAAAAATATCATAGGGCCCCGTCCAGGTGTTATCCTTAGGATTTTGCCCAATATTAACTCACTACGTCATGTTGCCAGGTATTCAAAACGTTCAAAAATTTCACAGCAAAATTGTGGTCCATTTTACAATTAAATATAATCCAATGATCATTCAAAATGCTCGATATCTGCCCTGTACTTAGCCTCTCCTCATGCAAAATTCCGTGTCGATTGATTTTTAATTGTGACCTGTATAACGTCTGCAAAATCAGGAAAATTTTAATTTTTTTGTCCAAATGTATATCTTCAAAAACAATAGGCTTTAATTCTGAATCTAAACCCCACCCCTACGCCAAATTTCGTTAGGATCAGACGATAATTGTGACCTGTATATAATACCCTCAAAACATAGTGTTGCAGGGTTTAGAAAAATTTTTGAAAACATAAAATTGAAAATTGTAAGTCAAATTGAAAATATCGCATGTGATAAAAAAATATGACAATAATTGAAAAAATGTAACAAAAAATTTTAACTTATTTGTTGGGTGAATATTTATTCAGGGTGAGATGAAAAAACTGCAACAAAGTCAAACGCCATAATTTTTACATTTTTTTAAACATTTTTATTACATTTTTATTGAATGAAACCAAAAAATGTCAGAAATAGCATCAAATTTTAGAATAAGTTTAGATTTGTTCGAATTGGTCACCTTTGGCACGAATTATGGCCTTCAAACTGCCTACGAAACCGTCACACGCTGCCCGAATATTGCTCTGCGTTATTTTGGTCCATTCCCACAAAGTGCTTGTTTGAGGTGATCGACACTTTGGTATTTTTTAGTGCCAACCTAACTCTCCAAAATACGCCAGACACAATAGTCAATCGGATTGCTATCCGGAGATTTTGGTGGCCACTGTGCGCTGGAAATGAAGCGAGGAACCTCATTTTGTAACAATTCTTGGGTGACACGTGCTGAGTGCGATGGTGCTGAGTCCTGTTGGAATGTCCAAGGTTTCCGGCAAAAATGTTTGAGTGGCCAAGGCTTTAATACACCCTCCAGAATGTTTTTGCGATAATATCCGGCATTTATTCTGATGCCACGGTCGATTAATACAGCCGGAGAGCGACCATCGGCTGTTGTGGCGGCCCACACCATCACCATGGCCTGTGCTTGAGTTCTGGTGGCCAACCATAGGTGCAGATTTTCAGCTGACATCTTTGGCAAGTAAACACGATCCTTTTGTTTTCTCATTCGGAGAAAACCAAATTTGACAGTTCGGCACTTTCGGCCAAGCGATGCAACTCTTAGCTCCTTTGGGTCTATTTTCTTTCTGTTGCAGTGTAAGTTCTTGCACTTTTTCAATGGCTATACCCCGAGCTCACTTTTCAATATTTGCCGAATGGAATATTGCGATATGTTCAGCCCTGAAGCTTAAACAACGCGAAATTAACATCCGATTCCATTAACACTCGGTACATCTCAATATTTGCATCAACACAAGATCTGTTATAAAGATGGTAGTGATCAGACCATTTCTTCTGGTACCTTCCCAACATACGGTTCAAGATTTTGAATAAACAAATGATTATAAAATTTGAAATATGCATCCGATTATCTTCAAATTTTACACATCCTAATATTTTTATTGGAAAAAAATATGGACAATAGTGACCAACTTTTTCGGGTATCTTCATCAAACAATTTATATTATCATACATATAACGACTTAGAATTGCGAATAATCACAACCCTATAGTTCATAAAAACGTAAGGCATTGTTAAGAAATCAATAAAAAATTAAAAGTGAGTTCGGTTTCGTCAAAAGTCCTCTCAGAGTAATAATTGTATCAAACTGGCATCTGGTGCGAAAATTGACAATTTTAGGCCATTATTTCCACTACGTTCTCCCAAAAAGTTATTCAGCTGTGCCTGGATATTTATTTATTTATTATACCCTCAGCCATATGGCATTTGAAACGGTCAAAACGTGCCTAGTCGAAATAACGGTTTTAGACCCTGGGTCTCTTTGGACCAAATCCGTTTCAGGTAATTTAGAGTCGATCTAACGATGTCCGTCTGTCCGATTTGGTCCAAACTTGGTACATCGTAATATTTTTGTCAAACTTAGGTCGAGTTCGATGATGGGCAATATCGGTCCATACCTTCTGGTACCTACCCCCACAAAATGTCGAAATTTTCAAAAAATATATTTTCTGCACAGAAAGAGTAATGATAATCCGATCTTGCTCCAACTTAGCAAATCCGAATATTTGCGCCAGTGCTAGGTCATGTGCAAAAATGGACAGTATCAATCCACTCTATCCAGTACTTGCCCCACAAAGGGTCAAAATGTTGAATAATTACAACTCTTATAAAATGTGATGTAAGAGTGCGATTGTCTTCAAATTTCACACATCCCAATAATTTTATTAACCCAAGATCTAGTGTAAGGATGGAATATATCGGCCCACTGCTTCTGGTACCTCTCCACAGAAGGTCACAACTTTGAATATCCATGAAGCTCAAAAAACGTGAAATAAACATCCGATTCAATTTAGACTTGGTACATTTGAATATTTCTATCAACACAGAATCTGTTATGAAGGCAGTATAGATCTCCCCCACAAAGAGTAAAAGTTTTGAATAACCAAAACGTTTTTAAAATCCGAAATAGGCATCAGGTTATTTTTATATTTCACATTCTATTATTTCTTCTAACACAAACCCTGTTGTGAAGATGAGATATATCGGTCCTTTCCTTCTGGTATCTCTCCCACAAAGGTTCAGAATATTGAATATCCACGAAGCTCATAAAACACGAAACTTATATCCGTTTCATGTATTCAAACTTGGCGCATCTCAGTATTTCCATTAACGCAAGATCTGTTATAAAGATGGTAGAGATCGGATCCGGTACCTCCCCTCATAGGATTCACGATTTTAAGAAACCAAACGCTCAAAGTAAGCCAAATAAGCTTTCAACATACAAACATTTTTGCTAACACAAGATATGTTATGAATATGCAATATATCTCCGAAACCCTTCTTGTATCTCACCCACAAAGGGTCACAATTTTCAATAACTTTATCTGTCATAACTTGCGAAACAAGTCAGCGATTTTTTACAATTTGCTATATCTAAATATTTCTCTCAACCAGAAAGTTGGGGTGAATATGGATTTCATGATGAAGTTGCCAATATAGACCAAACCTTGGACGTCGCAACATTTATATCGTATTTATTTAGGTCCGATATGAAATGGACAATATTGGCCCATTTCTTCAGAACCCACCCCATAGAAGGTCAAGAGTTTGAATAATCATAACAGAAGCCAAAATATATTTAAATAATCGAACATTGGCTGAGGGTATACGTCTGTCGGTAGAAACGACTGATACTTTTTAACTTGTTTACTTATAAAAAAGTTTTTTTTTTAATTAATTAATTTTATATATTTTTCCTTTTCAAACCACTGTACATAGCTTCTGCCTGCTTTTGAACTTCTTCTATTCGCTTGTCAGTTTCTTTCTTCCTAGTTGTTGCTGTTACATATGTATATCTTGTTTTGTTATATTACAGACTGCTTCTTCTACTCCTTCTTCGCCTCTTTAACTTTTGCTTTTAATTTACAAGTATTTATATTTAAATTTATAATTTAGCCGTTGTTTTGTCTACCTCGAAACTGGACATTCCATCATTCAGCGGCGACATGCAAAAATGTGTGTTGCTGGCATTCTCTCACAATGTCCCACAATAGTATATTCGAGACTCTTAGTCTATATGCTTTTGTGTATGTGTGCATGCGTTTGTGTTTAGCACTGACTTTAATTAACGTATATCATCATCAGAAAATAAAACAAGAATACAAAATAGTTAAAATGTGTTTTTATTTATTTTTGTTTAGTGGCGATCATTTGCGAAAAATTGTCAAAGTGCTAAGGAGACATAATGTTGTCACAAAATGACAAATTAAAATTCTTTTGATTTGCGAAATCGGCCACCGACAAAGCGGCCAGTGTTATACACACACACATATTGCATGGTAAATGTGCTGTTTTGTTATTGAGTTTGGGGAAATCCCAAAAATCACTGGTAAATTTTAATAGAATGGTAAATTAAATAGTTTTTTTTTATATTTCACACCTCATAGGGTATTAATGAATAAATAAAAAAAATAGTTCACCGCATGCAGAATGGCATA